TTGTGAAGTTGATCATCATTTTATCTTGGAACTTAAGTCTGTTATGGTTTAATTCGTCGCATTTAATTCATGCAGATTAATTTAATTCGTTATTAAATTCGTCAATTGGTCGACATTAAAACGGTTTCGTTTCAAACGACGAATTTAATTCAGACGAATTAATTTCATGATTAGCGACCATGGGCATGGATTATCCAGAAATAAAAACAACGAGATCAGAAAGAGAGAAGCGGACTTTAACATAATTTATGCATTTAATTCCGGACACGATAATAAGACGTCGTATGAAACGAAGACGCGCTACAGACGTTGTATCCGTCTGACCATGACGGATAAAACGTCTTGGACGAATTTAATTCATCAGACAAATTTAATTGAGTTAATTCGTTCCATACGATGCACTATACCGTCGCAATTAATTCGTTCAAATGATAGTGCGACGCATATTCGACGATAGTGCGTAAGAATACAACCATTTGCCACTCTACACGATGGAATGTCTATATAAATATTGTTGGTCATTTTCAGGGAACAGATCAAGCATTAGACTGTGAGATATGCGTTACAAATTTCAATTATATAACAGTAGTTTTTGTGCCCCGCTATTTTCTTGATCACGAAAATAAATCCTAAAACAAGTCTTTGTTTGTGCAACATTCACCTCGAATAATTTGCACAATCAGGTTTAGAAGACAGGGAAACCAAGTACAACTTTACTATATTCCATATATATTCGTTGAATTCACGACATAATTCGAATTTCAAACAGATCACATCTGCTGGCGTCAGCTTTTCCTATCCATTTTTTAACTATCCATTGTTGTAGTCACAGATTGTTCATTGATAGGCTTAGCATTGCTATCAGAAACTTAATTTTCGTACGAACCTAATCTGTATAATTATAAATATTATTATTATTATTATTTTTCGTTTTTTAAGAAGCAAGTTGGCAGCTTACCTGCGCTGATCTGTGGTTGAACCTTAATATTATTTAATTTCCCATCCGCGACTTCTTCTTCCAAAGGTGCCAGTTGGTTTGGCTTTGCTTCAGTAAATTCAAGCTCTACTTCAGCGTTTACTGTATTAGATGCACTGGATGAACGCTTTGCATGGGACAGTTTCCTCTTTCTTTTACTTCCTCCCGGCCTAGACAGATTAATAGAGATTAAATATGAGAATATATATATATATATATATATATATATATATATATATATATATATATATATATATATATATATATATATATATATATATATATATACCTATATATATATATACCTATATGCTGTTGAGGCGATCAGTAGAATACATGATAACTTTTCTAAGGTTTGTAGCTGATCTGGTTAAAAACATTTTATTTAAAATAAAAACTAGTAAAATTAAAACTAAATTTTCGGCTGCGAGCTGCAAGCCTTCATCAGAGTATATGGCAAGAGTCATTACACCTCTATTTATAATGTTTATCGTTCCGTTTGATTTCATCTGCTAATATAGAATAACAAGCCGGAAATTCAGTATGTTCATTAGCCGTGTTTTCACTAAGAGTGGAATGTAAAGCCTCTAAGAAAATCCTTTGTTCGTAGTTCTTAACTCCCTTTTCTAATATTACAGCGTCTGATTTTGCAGCGTTGTGACCAGTGCATTCAGCGTGTTCCTTTATTGTCGAAAAAATTCTCTTTCTAACTCCCGGTTTGTGTTCTAACCACCTTGTCGCCCATTTGTCGTTGCATTTGTATTTGTATACAATAGCTTTTGTTCTGTCTTCTGACGGTCTTGCTTTGGGCTTGCGAAAAATATTCCCTAAAGTTAGTACTGGTTTTAACGCGACCCGAACTCCTGCATTGGTTAAAATACTTTTTACTTTTTCTGAAACTCCGTTAACATAAGGAAGACATGTCGATCCACGAATTTCATACTCAGCATTTGTGTTAGTCTGATGGCGCGCATTCTAAAATACTTATACAATGATGTTTACACAGTTAGGAACTCTAAAGAATTTGCCAGTTTTATTTTCAATAAAAAAATTGAACCTAATGAGCGTATCGTCTCATTCGACGTAACATCTTTATTTACATCTATCCCCGTTGATTTGGCACTCCAGATTGTTAAGGAAGAGCTAAACAATACAACGATTTGGACACAACATACTGGCTTATCTGCAGATCATATCTATGGTTTGCTAAAATTTGTTTTGAACAACAGTTATTTCATGTATGAAGATTGTTATTATCAGCAAATATTTGGATGTCCCATGGGTTCGCCAGTGAGTGCGGTAATTGCAGAATTAGTCATGCAAAGAATAGAAACAACTGCCCTGCAAACATCTCCCGTTTGGGTGCGATGGTGGAAAAGATATGTAGATGATAGCAACGCCTGTGTAAAACAATCGGACATTTCAATATTTCACAATCATCTAAATACTATCAACCCACATATTCAATTTACTCTTGAAATGCCTGTTGTTACAGAGAATCAGCAAACCATAGCGTTCCTGGATACCGAAATTATAACCACAACATCTGGTGATGTTAATGTTAGTGTATATCGAAAAAGTTCTCACACGGACAAATATTTGTTATATATATAATTCACATAACCATGTGAATGACAAGAAAGCTGTAGTAAAAACATTATTAGATCGCGCAAAAACTATCCCAACGAATTCCGTATTGCAAGCCCAAGAGACTGAAAATGTGATTGAAACATTAAAATTAAATGGCTATCAAAAGCGTTTCATTGAGAAAGTTGTTGCGAACAACCATCAGACTAACACAAATGCTGAGTATGAAATTCGTGGATCGACATGTCTTCCTTATGTTAACGGAGTTTCAGAAAAAGTAAAAAGTATTTTAACCAATGCAGGAGTTCGGGTCGCGTTAAAACCAGTACTAACTTTAGGGAATATTTTTCGCAAGCCCAAAGCAAGACCGTCAGAAGACAGAACAAAAGCTATTGTATACAAATACAAATGCAGAGAATGTCCATTTACATATATCGGTGAATCAAAGAGATGTTGGGCGACAAGGTGGTTAGAACACAAACCGGGAGTTAGAAAGATAATTTTTTCGACAATAAAGGAACACGCTGAATGCACTGGTCACAACGCTGCAAAATCAGACGCTGTAATATTAGAAAAGGGAGTTAAGAACTACGAACAAAGGATTTTCTTAGAGGCTTTACATTCCACTCTTAGTGAAAACACGGCTAATGAACATGCTGAATTTCCGGCTTGTTATTCTATATTAGCAGATGAAATCAAGCGGAACGATAAACATTATATATAGAGGTGTAATGACTCTTGCCATATACTCTGATGAAGGCTTGCAGCTCGCAGCCGAAAATTTAGTTTTTAATTTTACTAGTTTTTATTTCAAATAAAATGTTTTTAACTAGATCAACTACAAACCTTAGAAAAGTTATCATATATATATATATATATATATATATATATATATATATATATATATATATATATATATATATATATATATATATATATATATATATATATATATATATATATATATATATATATATAACAACAGTCTGTTTCATCCGTATAGGAATCATCAGGTGGTATATATAACAACAGTCTGTTTCATCCGTATAGGAATCATCAGGTGGTCTGATGATTCCCATATACGGATGAAACAGACTGTTGTGGTTTTTGAGGTCAAACGAATATATATATATATATATATATATATATATATATATATATATATATGTATATATAGTTACCGGGTGTCCCAAAAAAAAGGTACTCCGGTTTGATTTATAATAACTTCTAAACAAGTAAAGCTATCAAACAGAAATAACTTGCATTAAATAGAGGAAGGACTAACTTAGATTTTGATATACTATAGTTGTATTTTACCTAACAATTCACGGAGATATTAATGTTTAAAATCGGGAGCATATTTTGGGATGTGTCTAAAATTAGCGAAAATCGGCATATCAAATATTAACTCCAGCGTTTGTTTGTTTAATGACATATCAGGCTAACTTGTATTTCAGCGAATTGTCGTCAGGGATTGTATAAAAATATGGTGTAGATTTAGACATCTTACATCTAAGCTCATTGTTTCCTGAAATATAAACGTTCGTATTATATTACGAAATATAAACGTAAAGTATTTAATAGGTCTTTAATACAAACTTAAAGGTACATGAAAGACCATTCAAGGCAGGCGCTTAAATTTTTCTTAAATAGCCTATATTTTTTATGCTTTTCATGGGTTGAAAACAGAGTTGAATATTTCTCGATTAGAGCAGGATGAATATTATTTTTTAATGAAGGAAATAATACTGCATTTTGCAAAACACATCACAGTATCAAC